TTATAAAATCGTACAAGATATCAGCACATATGCAGTAAAGTTTGTAAGACTCTGTCATAATGTGTAATATGCCCTCTGTTTAAAAGTAAGGAGACAATATACAACTGTTTGTCTGTAGTAATAAGGGCAGTTTTGCATGTGTTCAAAACTTAGTAGTTAATGTACTTCCTCTGACAACAGTTGTGTGCATTGGTTCGTTGTCGGTTTGTTTTCTTGTGTAATTAATAAATATCATTGAAGAGCTAATATAGGTTATGTGAAATATATTATTTTATTTTATTTAAGTCTTTCATGCATAAGTACCCACTACCTGCAACCTATAAAATCGTCGAAATGAAAATGGTTAAAATATCACAAACTGGACTTCTCTACCACAGAACTGCTGTTAACTGGTAATGGTAAGGAACTCAAGTGCAAGTTTAATAACAATACAGGACACAAAGGTAATATATACTGAGGTAAATCTATATATACTATAATACGTGAAGCAAAACTTTTTATGAAAACTGCGCGGACGAAGTATAAAATTTCCCACACATATAGTTTATCTATTATATAAAGAGGAAAGATTTGATTGTTTGTATGTATTGAATAGGCTCCGAAACTAATGAACCGATTTGAAAAATTCTTTCACTGTTGAGAAGCTACATTATCCCTGCTTGGAATAGGCTATATTATATTTAAAAAAAAATTAGGGATCCTTACTAAAACTCCAATAATGTTACTCAAGGTGTACAAAAATTACCTAGAATTTTTTTATATCGCGTGCGCTGCGAAAACTATTGATGATAGAATAAAATAATGTACTACGACTTTGCAGACCACATCATTATTTACAAAAAGTGTTGCGACAGCATATGTCTAACTATTATAGTTAAGGCCACAATAAGTGTTCTTTTATTTTAAAATTTTGCTTGAAATGCCGCCGCTAACAAATGCTCTTTATTTGTATGTTGGTATTAATCCTTATAAAAATAAATTACTTCATATTTAAGACTGTTTCAATATCTTTATAAAACTTTTTGAATTATTAAATTCGGACATTCCATTCCTTAGATATTGCAAGTTTAAAAATGTTAGTATATTGTAATTTAACTATCCAAACAGCTAAGTGACTGACTTAGTAGTTCTCATAATTTTTCAATCACATTTATACTGGTAATTCCTGTTCAACAGTTACCAAATTATTTAATACTAAGGAAGTTTAATTTTTTTATCATTTTAAAATGCCCAAAAGATCAGGATCTCATCTTTATAGAAATAGTTCTCAGGCGAGTACATTAAAAATACGTCATAATGAGGAATCTTTACCGGAAACTGAAAATCGTCTTACAAGTCGGAGAGTCAAGTGGAGTGTTTGCAGTGGCTTGAAGAGTATAATAATATAAATATACAACTAGGAAATCGAGGTCTGAGCGTTCCCAACGTACACGAGATTAGAGAGAAAGATAATAAACGTCAACGACTAGAGTTCGTAATCGAGTTTTAGCTCACAGTAACAGATCAGCTTTCATGCATTTTGCTCAACAGTCTTCCGTCCAAATCGTAGCCACGAATAAAATCTGCTCAAGTGTTTTGTCAAAAATGGGTCGATGAACCAAATGGTATGTGCTGTGCTTTTAGAAAAGGTAGTCTCCCCAATATTGAGGAGCCGCCACAACCAATAAAAAATCTTTTTACAAATAATCATTCACCATCAGGACATTTTTAACCAACATCCGAAAGTACAATAGCCTCTTTCAAATGACTTCGTTTGACGCGAACTTTTAAAATATAGGGACAAGTATACAAGTTATCATTATCCTCCCGCCCCTATTCCATCTAGATGGGGGCGGCACAACATGAATCACGTTGTATTGCGGTTTTGGCTATATTTTTACAACCAGCCGCCTGCTTGACGTCAACCCTCCTTGGGAAACAAATACCCAGATCAAATTTCAACTGTGTAACTATCATGGTTCATGAGATACAGCCTGTTGACAAAGAGACAAACAGACAGCGGAGTCTTAGTAATAGGGTTCCGTTTTATCCTTTGGGTACGGCATTCTAAAAAGGCCCCAGAGATATAGTGTTGCACGGTAGACACGGCCAATCCATAAAAATATCCCTTAATAGTCGTAATAGCACAAGACGGTTAATATTTGACTATTCCTCAGCAAGGTACTGTGCGTAACAAAATTGTGATATGCATGCAATTGTATGCATTTAGGTTGATGGTTAGAGCTACCTGTTTTAATCCATTGCATTATTACTGGGACTTAGTAGGGTTCCGTACCCAAAGGGTAAAACGGCACCCTATTACTAAGACTCCGCTGTCCGTCTGTATGTCCATATGTCAGGCGGTATCTCATGAATCGTGATAGTTAGACAGTTGAAATTTTCACAAATGATGAATTTCTGTTGCCGCTATAACAAAAAATACCAAAAAACAAAAAAATATAAATAAGTGTGGCTCCCATTAAACAGACATGATTTTTTTTATAGATAATGTTGACAGTAATAGTGTTTTTGACTATATGTAAGTGTAATACTTCTATGACACTTACATATTGAATAAAGATATTAAAACATGATTTTTAATGTGATAGAGTGGCACTACCTCTCTCACCAGACGAAACGTAGAAGTTATAACACTTCCATTTACGCCGGTCTTCTGTGAGGTCGGTACGGAACCCTTCGTGTGCGAGTCTGACTCGCACTTGGCCGGTTTTTATTCAATACATTGTTGATATGATGGCAAAAAGATATCAGAAAGATTGAATTACATATTGTCGTAATCACCAGAGACTGAGGGCTGGTGAAACATTCATCTTAGAGAAGCTTTAAATCAAGACATTGGCTCATCAAACATCGGATCATCAGACATCGGTCAACAAAAATACCAAAGATGCGATCATTTATGTCCGAAGCTATGGGAGACCAGACTTATTTGTCACTTTTACGTGACGTAATTTCAAGGGTATTTCATTAAAAGATGAAGAAATTCATAAATATATTCCCCAAAGACGAAATATTCGAAAGGTTTTATGTGTGTGTATGATAATTTTTACTTTATATTTTAATATTTTATTAAATACCCGTGCGAAGCCGGGGCAGGCCGCTAGTATTATATAAAGAAGGAGTGCAAAATGCTATTTTTTTAATTACGCCTAAAAAATATAATAAATCAATAAAAAATTGTTATACACACTACATGTATAATTATGGTCGAATTTCGAACACTCGGTGACCACTAGTATGGTAAAAATACAAGTGTTCATTACATTTACATATCAAGATCCCAAGGAGAGCCGACATTTGGCAGGCAGCTGCTCGTAAAAAACACAACTAATGCCACTAACCAAGACGATTCCCACTAAGTTAAGGTCAAAATATAGGTGTATGATGATTAGAAATTTACAAATATTTCATTGGATTGGACATATTTTTAATTATATGTTTAAATAATGATTAATAGAGGCGTTGAGACCGACACGTAATCGATACGGAGAGACGACACAATAAGCAATAACAGACGCAAAAAAATTGCATAAGTAATTTTCAAGTCAATCTAAAATTTGTTAATTTCGAGATCTTTTTTATTCGAAATATTAGGTTGGGGAAAAATTGTTTTCGCAAATAGTATGTATGTACTTATAATATAATCTCTTTGGCTATACCATTTGTATCTGGCTGGTTATGGTATCATTAAAAAGTTTAAATTTTAAAAAAGATAATTCCAAATTTAAATTATGAAAATGTGTGAACTTCATTTGTTTTTTTTACTCTTAAGATGAGTGATTCTAATGAAGAAATTCGATACATTTTAAAATTTCACTACAGAAAAGGTAAAAATTCAACGCAAGCCGCGAAAAAAATTGTGATATTTTTGGACCTAGTGCAGTGTCTGTGAGAGTAGCACAAATTTGGTTTAACCGTTTTCAATCCGGAAATTTTGATGTCAAAGATGCACCTGGCTCTTGGCGCCTTGTTACGGATAAAATGGATGCCATTTTTGAAAAAGTGGAGCAAGATCGGCATATCAGTAGTTTCGATGTAGCTGAGGACTGGGAATTGATAGACACCCCAGATTTCCACTTGTTTCAGTCTCTTCAGAATTCTTTAGGCAGTGTCAGGTCAACATCACGAGAGGACTGCCAAAACCACTTGTCGCGGTTTTTTGATCAGAAGCCCCAGAATTTCTATAGCAATGGGATCATGTCCCTACCTACAAGATGGCAGAAAGTTATTGAACAAAATGGCACATATATACTTTAGTTAAATGTAAATAAACTGTATTAAAAAATGTTTTGAATTTTCATATAAAATGCGAAGAAACTTTTTCCCCAACCTATTACTTATAGTAATCAAAATTTTAAGTTAAATTTACTATATAATGACCACATAACAGTAATTTTCAGCATTGTACCCTTTCAAATTATGTTTTCCTCAACATTCAACTGTTTATTATTAAATATCTGTTTACTAGTAATAGCTGAGTCAGTGGTGTGGTTCTGGTCTGGTTGGATTACAAAACCAACTGGAACTCACAATCTGATGTTGCTTAAATCCCAGTGTTCACTTTTTAACCAATTTCAAAAAAGAAGGTTTCCCAATTTGACCGTATCCTTATTTTATTTATGTGTAATAGCGGATAGCTTCGTCGTTTATGATTTTGATGATTCTTTTTTTGTTGGAAAGGAGATATCCCAAGGATAGTACCATGATAAGGAAACATGGATCTGATGAAGGCATCCCAGAGAAATCGAAGGCAATCCTCAAATGTTATAGGTATTAACAATGTTTTTTAGTTTCCGGTTTGAAGTCGGTTTTTTTGGAAATTTTTAAAATTATTGTGAATTAAATAAATATATTCTTATTGTTAACAATATAGGTAAACGTAAGTAGTCGCAAACCTGTGATATAATAATGAATAAATAAGATTTTCCATAACAGTTATCTATTTACATTACAAAATATATGTACCACTACAGAATGCAGTATAATTTATTACTAATTCAACTTTCAGTTATATTCTGCTCTATTTCTGCTAATTTCCTTTTTAATGTAATATTGTTTCTCATTTCAAAGTATGTTAGGATGGAGGAAGCGGCCAACTGCAGTGGTACCATATATGCCAAAGATCCTGTAAACGGTTTGGTGTGTCCCTTCAAGAAATTGAAAAGGACCTTGGGACCTTCTTGTAGGTCGGGCACCCGATATGTCAAATATCTGTTGGCAAACTGAAAAAACATTCACAGACTGTTATAACAGTATGTAAATAAGTATTTTTATTCTCGTATTAATGAAATTACACACAAGTAATTATTTTTCAATAATTATCATGTGCACAATTATTCTTGTTTATTCATTAGGCTTACCAGTAATGCTCCAGTTGGTCCAAGCACCATTGGATATAATGTACCAAGTGCGACCTGCACCAAACCAGACCTTGTCTCGTAACAAAGTGGGCAGCCGTCATTTTTCATTAGCAGCATATTTGTTGATACTGTCTGTAAATATGACAGAAATATCCATGTTTTCATTAGGCAATTGAATAATATCATTTGATGTATGTGAACTCTTTTTTCAGTTCACACATTCTTATATTTTGTATTCATAATACATACATGCCTATGGAACAATGCCGTAAGAACTCCAGGTATTACAGATATAGGAATTACAGATGAAAAATAACCATAATTTCCAAGTTTCAGTCTCCGGCGGTAGTGCGTATTTACTAAAACGCCACTTAAGGCATTAATTGCCCCAAGTATTGCAGGTGCATAGCGAAGAGCCCATCTGAAATAACTTTTTTTTCAACATGAATTTTCAAAAAGGTGTTATTTATGTTAGAATATGGTAAATAAGCTGGCAGTTCACCTGATGTCTAGTGATAACCACCACCCATGGACATTTGCAACACCTGTAGGATTGCAGATGCGTTGCCACCTGATAATACATTAGGGCCCCAGTTCCCTCACTCACCAAAACAAACACAGAAGTGTAACACTTCCACTTCACGGCGGTCTTCTGTAAGGTTGTGGTACTTCCCCGGACAGACCAGACCATTCGGGCAACAGCAAAGCCGTAAAGACTATTGCGTGGCACTACCACAGTATATTAATATTAATACTATATTAATATTTCAGTTGTTGTTGCTTTTTATTGCATTTTCTGTGAATTTCTTGAGTTTTACCAAGTCATACAGTACACTAAGAGTTAAATGAATGGTAGGTGTGAGTAGTGTATAAAATAGTAATTTATTTCATTGATTCATATCAGATTTTACTTCTTACGTGTCTGAACTAGAGTTCCATTCGTCCACTACTTCCCAAATATAAGTCACAGCCTCTACTTCAGTAAGCACCACGGCATCTTTAGGGATCTGACTCGATTTCATCAAAGCCATGTTGCGTGTATATTTATTTCAAATTATCTAAAAATTAGGTAGTAACCATTCATCGGTTAAATGGATTTATTTTTACACTGCATAACCTTTACATTGTTGACAATTGAATTGACGTTTTGTTTTTTTATTAATATAGATTAACGGCTTGGGATTTCTCCTTACAGCCTTCATTTAGCCTTTAGTCATTATTACAGGTTCAACGTAAATTGTTGTCTTATAAATAATTGTTGTTAATTATTATTGGTAAAGGTAAATAATTTTAACTCCGGCGTAATTCAAATCAAATAAATTTTAAACGATAGAGATAAATCTCTAATGAATTAATCAACAAGCAGAATTCGGCGGTCGCTTATAGTTTTCGAGAAAAAAAATATTTAAAACTTGTTTTTTGTACTAAGAAATCCACCATTTTATTCGTTTGACTTCAAAAGTTCTTTACACAGTTCTGCCAACATGATAAATATAGGAAGCGGGCGCCATCATACACGTATCGATATTCCGATTTTTTAAATTTAATGAGTCACAGAACCGACACAGAGCGAATCCGACTCGGATAGATTAGGTTAGAAGGTTCAGGCGGGAGCTCCGCTCCCGCCTTAACCTTCGATGTTAGGTTTTTTTTTTTATGACCACCAAGAAATACGAGCTGAATTGACATATTGACAACAAAAAATGGCGGATTTCTATAGTAAAAATCACACTATTTCATTATTTATTTTTTCGAAAACTATAAGCGACCGCCAAATTCTGCTTGTTGATAAATTCATAAGTGAGTTTTCTCTATCGTTTAAAATTTATTTGATTTGAATTACGCCGGAGTTAAAGTTATTTACATTTACCTTATTATTCTATTATAATGTCATTTATTTACACATGTTCTTCTCTTCTTTATACTCGTTAGCTGAGTACATGTTTTGTGTAAGTGTAGTTTCTCATTCCTGTTAAGAGACCCATTCGGTATCCCATCTATTTGTCCGCCGTGCAAGACTGGGAAGCAGGAGCTCACATATTGTCACTTCTAATTATGTATGTATAACGCTTACATACATAATTAGAAGTGACAATATGTGAGCTCCTGCTTCGAGAAAAAGAAAACCAGTCAAGTGCGAGTCGAACTGGTATCCCGAGGGTTCCGTACCTACCCATTATACCGACATAATAAAATTAGTAATAATTACCACGGATTTTCCAGGAACGGTCCGCCCGTTTCTGAGAAAATAGCAAGTTTAAATTCGTACCAAATTCTTTAGGCCCAAAACTTATAGGGTACTTTCGACCTAGAATTGTCAATTTTGGTTTAAATCAAGGTCTTACACTTGCACAAGGGAAAATTCCGAATATAAAAAAATGTTGAAAATTAACGTTTGGTACTTATAAGTATTCGCGAAAATCTAAATTTGCCCAAATCTTTTTACCTTAACTATAGGGACTATAGAACTAACGCCCGGTTTCTGAAAGACTGATAACTAAGCAGGTCATTCATCATTATCTTTCGGATATTTAAGAATATCATTCTGATCAATTCAGAGAGTTTAACCCTCTTTTTGGCAATTTGTAAAGCCATTTGACAGTTAATTAGTTCATTTCTACGATGATCAGTATTGCAGAAACCGGGCGTCAGTCTCTGGTATAAATTTCAACTTGCTAGGTCGTGGGTTACACAGGGACAAGAGATTGATCTTATAAGGGTTCCTTTCTTTTACTTTTTAATGTATAGAACCCCAAAAAGCTATTTTTATGTTTTTTTTGTTATTGGTTATTTATTTTTATAAAAAAAGGGTGTAGGAAATATTTTTGTTCCTATTTTTAATAATTGTTGTAATGCCACATTTTGGCTGTTTTCCACGGAATAGCAAAAACAGTTCTCTATTATGTACTGTGTTCGCCAGTCGTTTAAAACATCTTCTATGTTTTGACCAAGTGGTGAGCACAAGTCTGCACACTGTGAGCACATCTTAAATCGCCCTAACCACTACATTAGATTTGATAGACCATAGATCCTTGCAAATAATACCGATTCCTCTCAAGGACGACTGGCGAGGCTATTGTAATAAAAAAAACATTCTAATATTAATAGAGAAGAGGGTTGGGTACTACCATCAGCTGGAGATTCTATCATCAAAAAATTTAATCTAGGATCAAACAAGCCAATACTGTAAGACAAGTTTCAAGAAAGCAGCTTATGCGTAGATCAGACCTAAAATTAATAATTTAAAAACTGAAAGGTATCCCGGGCTTATCATCAGATGACATTCAGTCGTCTAACGGCTCAGTCTGACCCGCGACCATGAACGCTGAAAAGGGTTCGAGAGCTACAATTAAAAGTAAACGTGATAAATCGGTAAAAAATAATTTCATTGGGTGGTAATCACCTTGTGCCTAACGCTGCCGAACAATTTAAAGTCGATGTTACTTGTCTATGTCATTATTATTGTTAACTATTTCCACAAATTGTCTTTGATGAACTATTTAATCTTACGCGACTTCCCGTGAATGATAATTTTTTTTCGATATTCCGCTTGTTCGAACAGTAACATTGCATAATTGTTATTGTATCTTAATTACAAAAAAAATATCAGATATCCTAATTTGTGAGTCAGTGACAAAAAACAAACAATTTCCAAACCACAAAGCAAATTTTGTAATATCCGAATATCATAGCCTAACCAAATCTATATTCCTAAACAGTGACAGATTTGTCCGTTGGTCGCCCTAGGCTCATTAAAGATTAAGAGAAAAGACTCCCTGGAAGGCACAAAAAGTTAAAGAAAGTTAGTACATGATATTATGGAGTCGACGAATAGTACCTATTGGCCCGCTTGATTTGTTATATTTTTTATGGAATATCGCCTACGCAAAAAAGCGAGTGGCGAAAGGCGAGCAACGCTCAATCGAAGAAATTCGCATTATTATTATTAAAATGCAAATAGTCGGCGCTTGTCCCTTAATTAACTTGTGAAAATATGTATATAGCGCATTTTAGGAATTTTACAACGTCATCTAGTTTTTGCACGGGAACTAATTTCTTATCATCTTATCGTAACTTACATATGCTGGATTGTAATTGTGTCAATTAAAGAATTTGTTAATTCAAACTTTTTTTATTATGAAACTGAAACTTCCAGTTATCGTGGTTAATATTTTATCACTGATAGCATATTTTGCATGGAAGGTTTTTTTTGTATTGGGAGCTATGTCATTTGAAAAAATTAAAAACTGTTCCGATCCAGTAGCTAATAATGTATACAGCGTGTCTTTACAATCGCGACAATAAATGAAAACACAACACACAAACATAGAGGATAACTTTTTAAAATTGTATTAACCATTTACATTCTTTAATCATCAATATTTACCGAGTTATTAAATTTTACAAAACAAAGAATTTTAGAACACCTTACGTATAAAACTGTAACATAAAGTTTATTTGTAAAGGTCACAAAGCATATGAATGGGTTGAATGAATTTAAAAGAGGCAAAACATACGGTTAGAAGAAGAGGCTTGTAACTTGTAATGCGACGCTGTGAAAATGAATGAAAGTCTCTGAATGTATGAATCAGTCAGTAGTAGTTGTATAGGATGTTACAGATTTTGTTTCTTTTTTAATTAATTAGTTTGCTTGAAAAATATTTTTTTTAATTATGACTTTTTTTAACGTTAATATTTTTTTATGATTATTGGCAAGTAGCGTTAGACGTGTATTCATTTATTGTCGCGGTGGTAACGACACGCTGTATATTATGTTTCAATAAACTGATTAAGATCAAATGATACTTAAATATCGTGAGAAAGTTGTACTGACATGCTGTCAAAAATTAATAGATTTAATGTTCTTGTATCTTGTATTAACTGATGTTTCAGTCTTCTTTCAGTCCCGAGACTATTAAAGCTTCATCTGACGCAGAACCGGTGGGCTAGCCAGAACCCACTTGTTTGGGTCATCCGCTGTGGGTAGGGCCACGCATGTGCTCATGTGTGTGTTTAACTATGGTCATCTAAGGGCCATCGAGGTCGCGGTTCGGACCGAAACCCCGATGGCCGTCGACTATGCAATTAGCTAATCGGTAGCTGGGGGCGGTGAGAAACGCCCTGGAACGCGGGTGTGCCTTGTGTACGCGATGTGTTAGATTTAATGTTGCACAGAGTTAATCTTGAATACTTTCAAAAACACCAAACAAATTAGTTCAGTACTTGGCTAACTGTGATAACTGTTGCGGCTGCACTGCTTGAAGCTTAAGATAGGGATATTAAATAAAACACGCACCTAATATAATTAAAATTATTTATTATCCTTCATCATATTTCTAGCATACTAAACTTAATAAGTGTATAATAATAAATAATTGAATAGTAATTTAGTTTTGAAATATTTCAGCATTATTCATATTATTAACTTGATAATAGGTTTCAATAACTAAATTAGACATGCAAAGTAGGCAAATTTATTGTATTAGTTTCATCATTATATCAATGGATCCAGTCCTTTGGCTAAATATAAGTGTGATGAATTTTTCTAATACTATAATCAAACAGAAATAAAGTAACCTAGTGACCATTTAAATAAGTGATCATATTCTCTTATTTTATAATCTTTGGCGATCTATAACAACATACGAGAATAAATATTTCAAATAGCCTAGCTATGAATGCAATGACGAATGTCTCTTCCATTTATTCCACAGTATCATTCTTAACAAAAAACAAACATGACTTACTTTGATAAAACATATATTATTTATCTTTACGAACATTTCTGACAGATTACATACATAAACATCATTATAGTTTCAAGAAAAGCGGCGACACGCGAAAATTAATTTACGTACATACTTGTCCAACTTTGAACACAGCAATTAACTATTTTTGTATTATTTGATGTGAAAAGTTTACTTATAATATTTAAATTGTTGCATGTTAAAAGGCGTGCTATGTTTATGTTCCAAATATAATTGTACGTTCTTTTAACACCTTAATATCTAAATGGAATCTGTAAAATCTATTTATAGTGATGCCAACAAGATTATGAAATAAAGCGAACTGGCTGGAAACCAGTGGATAGATACTGTGCTCACAGTTGGAACTATTAGAAGATTCAGTAAGAGGCTGTGGTAATAAAGATTCTACATAACTGCCATCCTTGTACTTATGATTTAAACATAATCAATTAGACATATTATTATCTTAACTATGCTTCATCTAGAATACAAATTTTGATATTGTTAATAATTATAATTAAAGTTTAAAAATTGTCACCTCTTACCAATTTTACAATGTTATAAACATGTTAAATTTGTAGTGCATTTTTTTCATTTTGGGTAAAAATACGTCTCTCGTGGTTGATTATTTAAATGTACCTACGGGAAAAATATTTTATCGCTAAATAAACGATAAACAAGTAGGGAAGAAAAACATAGATAAGAACAGGCTCGTCATACATTAAACTTTATTGGGAAAAGCGTTTGAAGGGAGTTTTTACTATTTTCACATTTTACTTATATAAATAACTATTTAACACCTCTGTGTTTTACGAATATTAATTTGAAAAATTGTTTTAGGTGTAAAATATTTATACATACTTATCACCTAACGTTTAATCTTGACTCCGTAGCTTACTTTTCATATGAAAAAAAAAAAAACAGTGGCATATAAGGTTGATACGTAGATTAGGTTCAATGGACGAACGAGACAAGCGTATATCACAGATGCCATGGCGGGCATCCGTCAGCTAAATTATTGCCGAACAGCTAGACTGCTCTGAAATCGCAACTGAACGGAATCATTCGACATAAATTACTCACGTTGTATATTCCAGCGTTATTAAACTAAATATTTGTATAATTATTTTCAAAGAAGAAGCATTGAAACTTTAGTCAATCATTTTTGTCAAATAAATTCTGAACAGAGAATTCTTCAATTAAACTATCCGTTATAAGTTATCCAGAACAATGTGCATGACAGTTTTGTGCAGCATTGTTTTTTTTGACCCGTGGTTGTCTATGGGCGAATCAAAAAAATGGAACGAAGCGATGTAAGTGCAACACTTCACTAATCGTTTAACAAAAGTGAAGTGAGAATACGAGCACTGCGGAATAATGGTTATAGGAATGTCTATTTTCTGACATCGAAGGGGAAAATTCTGGTTTTATCGTCACATAAAATTCCTATTCATACCCAAGTCTTCCCCCTGCTAGACTTTGACACGATTGTCCAATTTAGCAACGTATCGCCATTAAGAAATATGGTTTAAGCCAAGGCCACAAATTCGCCAAGTCAATTCATCTGCTTGCGTCTCGAAAGTGATGTACGGATGCGCTAAAACGCTAAACAATTTGATGAACCAAAGAGGTTCCCCTTTGTTTATGGCCCGGCGTCAAAGACATAGGATAGTAATGTAACTCTATAACCATTATGAATATTTCTTCTTAGCAATACAACAGCGACACCCTGTCACCCACCCGAGCGGTCCCGGGACAAAAGGCTATTAAGCTCCTAAATTAGATATGACGTCAAAAATGTCTACACACTTCTGATAACTTTGAAACTTAGTACGCACAAATTAGTTATTTACTTATCCACTTTATAATACATGTATGTGAGAAATTTACAACATTACATAATTTTCCAGTTTAATTAACGGTTGAAGAAAAATGAACTACCGACATAGTTTTTTCAACGCGGTAAGGGTGAAGGATTTTTTAAATACTTATAAATACATACATTAAGTTAATTCGCGGATCATTGATATCTTGGCGCTTGAAATCTTATATTTACATAATACACCCATTTATATTACTCGAATGAAATTGTTAATAAAATATCTATAATTTCTGCTACTAGTATTGAACATACATTTATTAAAAAACGTCTATGGAGGTAGGAATTACTTCCTTCATATAAATCTCCACGATTCTTTTAATTAATAGAATAGAACATATATAAATAGACGTGTCCAATTGCCCGGATTCAGGTTAGCTAGAGAATATAATAACAGATTGTTAGTTAAGAAATATGTACCATAGAACAATAGATAAACAACAAACCAGCCGAGCCCCATAAAATTTAAGGTAGGCAATGAATGACAATTGAGAATACATTACTAGTGCATTATAATCATTTTGGCCGCGGATGTCTTTCAATGGGGAGTTTATAAAAGCAATCAATATGAAGTAAGAACGCGTATTTGAAGGACGACAGTTTGTATTAGGTAATATATTTGTGAGAATTACGGACGGCGATTTAGTTAAAATGTTATTTTGAATTTCAGAACTATTAAATTCCATCTCTACCTACACTAAGATACATCGGTCGAGTCAACCATCGTCTACGTTGGCAGAGGAGTAAATGAAGAGGACGGTGCCATTTGAGGGTGTATGTCACAAGTCCAAAATTTCTAGTTTAGTTTTTTTTTAATATAAATATGTTTTAAATGGTCACCATACTCTTCATGTAATACGTCTGTGTCATTACTTGACTCAATCTGACGATAATCCAACATTAAAAATATTATATGGATGGAAATTTCTAATAAGTGCTTGAAAACATTTTTCTGAGAATAGATAAATGTCGTTCATTATTTTCTGGTTGCATGCATTGAAGGGTTATTTATTTTAGGTTTTTGAGTTCGTGTCTGCGTCGTAGAAATATTGTGTACATGTCGAAATGAGTCTAACATTAATTTGAAATTTTTAAGCTGTACGGATTTAAGTTTGTTTCTTACTAAAGTGTACAGGTAGCTTTCAGATGAGACATTAGACAATGATTGTGAAACAATATTCTGGATAACTTATGAAACAAAACATAAAGAAGAACATTTGTTTCAAACCATCAGAAAAATTAACTCTTGTTAGCATGTGTACGGTTTTTGTTCAAATTGAAACACGAAAAGGGTTACATTAAAGACAATAAATAATAACAAGATCTAAGGTTAAGTTTACAGGTAAACAATGCGTATAGTATAAGGTGAGTAATCATGTGCTTGAAGCTAAACTATGCTAAGCGATAGGGAAAATAAATAACAGATGGAGATATGACTAGATCTTTTTGTTTCATTACTAGGATCTACAATTCGTAAAAGCACTATGCGCCTCTCTCCGTATCTTTACATTATAAATAGATATATAATCGTATGATTAATTAATCCAATCCCAATGTTTGTTCTCACTCCCCCCCCTCCGTTTAAAGTCCCCCCCCTCCGTTTAAATTGGCGTTCGTCTTACAAACTAGTGTCGGCCGGTGGTCGGGTATTGCGCCATTATTTGTGTGGCCTCTGCCCATAACGTGTATCAGTCCCTTCGCACGCGACACCGTCCGACGGTCTACTTACTTTGCCTAACGATTCAATCTCCTTACGAATACCGTTCACGTAAACAAACATCCTCGAGTGCATGGTTGAATCCATTTAAACGGGAGCGCCGCGACGGGATGAGTTTAGAATTATATAAAGTGCAAAAATGTAAAACGAAGAAAGCTAATTCCGAGCGTTTCCCAATTACAATAATGTATTTCCCACTGTTGGTTTGTTTGCGCTAATCGACGCGATACGAGGGACAGAAATGATCTTCAATGACCGATCTCACATTTGTCGCATTTAATTTACAAATGATGACGTAAAAAGTTGATAATGTTTCGGTTAAATTAGTTGTTATGATGTTGACGACATATTAGAAACTGCATACGCTCGTGACTAATTGGACGATCGGCGATAAGGGGCTTGCTGCGAAATTACCTGAGACGCGAATTGAAATGAGAATGCGGCCGTTGGAATAAAAGAGCGAAGGAAGCATGCGTATTAGCTGTTTAAAGATGAAGATGAGGGAATCGGTAACGCTACAATAGTTAAGAGAGAGTATAAAAATTCGCGACAGACTACAGTGGACCCGAGAGGGATGCGGCGAGGCCGATACGCGACGTCCTCGTCCAATCATCAGCCTTCGACTGACCGCAGCTTGACCTTGATCGAAACCATCCCCTACCCTAATCACCCCCCCCCCCCCCCCCCCAGGCACCCAGCCGAAGGATGAAGCGAACTCGGAGCGACCGGCATAATCTGCCTACATGAAAAACATTTTAGATACATTTAAATAATTGCAAAGCATACCCTGTACCCTAGAATCACTTTATGGGCGATTGTTTTATACATTTTTTTCAGTGAGGACTCGTTTTTTTTAAATCTATTACGAACTTGCGTCGCCGCGATATACCTTTAGGGGATTAATTCTTTTTTAAATTTAATCAGTATAAAGATATAAGTACACAATATTACCAATAACCCGCGGCCGTGTTGCCTTGCGGCGTCGCGCCACGAGCGTATTATTCCTACATTACCCACGAGGTGATATAATCATAATCGATATATATTCTAAGTATACGCGTTCCGGTTTGGCATCCATTGATTCTGTAACCTAAGGCGCACTCTAAGGAGCCGAGCCCAAGCCTTGTGCGTAACAACCACCGCTCAGCCGGTCCGCACCATCCGCTGCACTCAACTCGAATCAACGCAACGCCTCACACGCTGCGGGTTTAACGCTACGACAAAACGACCGTCTTTGTCATTTTCTCTATCTAAATTACAAGTGGGCAGCGCGTGAGCCGCTTGCACTTCACTAAACAGAGGCGGGCCCCACACGACACGGCACGTCGACGAATAATCTAAAATGGTAACGTAATTCAATCATCGGAAACGTTTCAACGCGTTCCGTTAAATAAGAACGTGGCTAAAACAATTTATGAAGCGTAACAACATATTGCACTACAATGAGATACAAGAGAAATGAACTAGAAATTTAAATAACGACATACATAGTACAATGATCATCATCGTATAGTTAAATGCGTAGGACTTATCCTTAAATCATAATAGCCTAAACTAGAATACTATATCAATATAATATAATTATTTGTGTAAATATAAAGTTCTATGTTTTGTTCTGAATATACAATTTGACTAGTGCGGGCGGTTGTGTCCTTTGCCACAGGCGGTAGACAAACCCAATGCCCTCCAACCACACACAGAAAAGTTGACACTTTCCACCAATGACAGGTATTATACAGTAACCGTTGTTAGGATATTAAAAAAAAAATTAATTGCGTGTGAATGCTTGAAACTATTGCGTAGTTTTTTTTAAGTTTAGGTACAGTTTTAATATGTAATCCTATTAAACATTGTTAGCAAATATGTTTATAACCTTTTATTGTATTTATTTTAAGCAAATAAACATTATTAATGTTGATATTGAATTATTTCTAGCAGTTTTGTGCTCGGTCGTAATTCTGTGTGTGATTACTTTAACTCTGAGCTCACTACCGTTGTTAACTGTGAGTAAGATTTGTTCCATGTTAATTTTCTAAAGATTTTACGCGTAGATTTTATATATAAATGGTTTATATTTAGCGTCTAATAAGCCTAAATATACAATAAGGTAATTCGAATTTATAATACAAATGTGCTACATGTGCAAGTATCATGTAATGCCAATAGAATAAGCATTACAAAACGGACGGAAATGTATGGATTAAATTGTTTGATTGATTCACTTGTAAGCGGTCAGAGACTGTTTGCCATTTTTTTTTATAAAGTTACAGTCCTAATTGTGCGTCCGACATAAGTCAGCATATATGTATAATTTGGCCAGCAAAAGAAGCTATCGTTGAAAAGCGTTAGGTGGTTAGTGGACTCAGAGTTATTTGCGTATTTTTATAAACAGCGTAATTTTTTATAAGTAAGCGTTCGTCGACATGAATGGATTGCGTCAGGGACATCCTTATCGTAGCGGCTTGTAGAGGTAATAGGGGCACAGTGGTAAACAATTGGTATTTGACGCTTCTTATAAAAATACTGGCTGCGTTCCACACGGAATGAGGTGTTAAGGTCACAACAGACCTCTAAGGGCGGTGGCAGCCACCTCTCTTCAGCCAACTCCCCTTCCCATCCCACTGGGGCGTCAGGTCCGCCCGCGCACCGCATTAAGTCTAAGGTATCTTAGTATCATTCTCTTTATTTATATTGGTACATTTCGATTATGAATATTTTTTTTTGTCGTCCGCAGAAATTACGCTAGTTTTGTATTCCCTCAGCTCGCGCGCCTCCCTCTGTTGGCTCCCCGGGCGCATTACTTCACTTGCTATTTAACACCTTAACACGAACATTTCATAGATACAAAACAAAAAGCTGGGAGAGCGCTCCATTTGAAATTGACTTCAATGCGCGCGGACCGCTTGCACACAATATTTACAATATATCAAGAATTTCTAAGCATTTCCATAGTACATTTTGTTATTAATGCTAAACACCGACTGCCATGTTTGTTTGTGAATAGTCTATAACGTTTAATAGGTGGTAAGTGTACAGACATATTACATGAAATTGCTTAAAAGTTTTATTGTTTCGTTTTACTTTTAGTTTTGGCCTAAGAAACGTTCCATAGTGTTTAGTGTTTAGTATAAGAGATTTCTTCCGTGTGCTTGCGGTTTACGAAGAGCATATTACACAATTTACATATGTATATAAAGCAACGGCCTGTACAATCCATTATTTTGATATTATACTTTTTATATCACAGCCCATTTGGAATTTACAACACATAACAACACGATCTTTTGTAATGAAGGCCTTAAGTATTTTGGTATTATGTGGAAGTGCACTTTGATTTGTACACAGCGTTATTACCAACATATAAATTTATGATAACAATATTTCCAATATTATATTTTCACTAACGTGTAAGGCCGGAAGCGCTGGTCGTACCAATCATCAATAGACCGAACCTATCTACTCGTGTTTTGGCGCGAAATGTCATGTGAAATATTTATTTAATTCAAATCATTTCGGTAGTATATTTTGTGACATGTGAAGTCCTGTTTGGTTTTAATTTTCATGTTTGTTTTTGTTCTCTTTCATTTCGTTTAAAATAAACGAGACGAATATATGTGTACAAGTGAATGATTGTTGTAAGACCGAGCGTATTCTGCGCCACACACACACACGCATAATACCATTTAACAAAATATAGGATATCATACTCCGATTTTGATATTTATCGTAGTACTTATATTAATGTGATCAATGCGTTGGAGGGAGACAACAGTGTTCGCGTCACCGGCGGTCTAAGCCGCATCTTTGCTACATTCGACTACGTTAAATTAAAACAATCGTACAAACGAACGAGCCAAAGACAACTACGTCATAGCGATCTCTACGCTACGTTCGGAAACGGAAACAAAAAGAAGAGACAAAGAATATCAACGCGACCATGGCGCTGCAATTTTTTTTGATGCAATATACAATAATTAAAATACACTTTTTTTCTTACATTTTCAACTTACTTAATAAATTCAGTTTGGCTTAGTTCAAGCAAATAACTAGTATAATAAATTTATGTTAAAAGTTTCAGTTAAACATTAAGTACTTAGAAGTAGAAGTATGATTACGAATGACAATTTTTTTTTATAATAACGTGTCATTTTATAATAATAATAATTTAATCAAAGTTAATAAATTGTATATATAATAATATAATAGAGTAATTTAATGATTAATCGTTAATGATAAGAATGAAGCATTCCTACGCACTGATTCAATAAATTATTTTTTTAACTAATTTTAGTATACTCGCCGAGTGGGCTTGCATAATTTAAGGTTAGTATGTTGGTAATGATATTCAATAAAATAGTTTTAAATTCCTTGGAATTGTTGATAACACGCGAAAAAGAGCGCCTGTGGCGAACGGAAGAATCCAACCGCCTCCTGTAACAATATAACAAAATTTTACATTTCTCACACATTTTTACACAACGTTATCTAGTCCCAAACTAAGCAACGCTTGTACTATGGTACTAGATAACTGATAGGCGTAGGTACTTAAACATACTTTTCTTTTTAACTTTGACATACTTTTTGTAAATAAATACATATTATACATATACAAACTCACAGAAATCAGAAAAACACTATGTTCATCACGGTTGTCATCATTTTACGGTGGTACGGCCACGCAGTAGCCTCGGCTGTTGCACGATTGGGCAGGCCCGTCCGGGTAAGTACCACAATCTCACAGAAGACCAGAGTAAAGTGGAAGTATGACAAATACTTTCGCGTTTCGTCTGATGAGTGAGGTAGCCTGAGCCCAATTTTCAAAAGGTTGTCAACGCATCTGTGACCCTCGGGTGTTGCAGATGTCCATAGGCGGCGGTATTTACTTACCATCAGGTGAACCGTGTGCTCGTTTGGCAACTTTTCACTAAACAAAAAAACAATATTTTTCCAGTAGTGGGTATCCTAAACCACACCCTCTGGCGCAGGAGGCAGGTTAAATATAAAGATCGTTTAATCACAAAGCGTTCCATATATATATTTTTTATATCAACACACTATTGAATAAAATTAGTTTATGCTTTTTGCGCTCTTATTACTAACGTTTCATATAAATTGATAGCATCCATAGGTTAGTCCTAGTTAGGTGTACCAATTTATTTTAGAAAAAAAGAAATCGTCTTTATTGTGGTCGATGCATGGCAACGGGCTTATGGGTAATATATAAAATTAATCAATCAAATCAAATCAAAATCATTTATTCGAAGTAAGATTTTTTAAAATTTTAAAACGTCTTATAATTTGTCTTATATGTCTCTCATGCCGTGCTGGAGTATCGGAACACCAAGCCTCTTTGTCATTTAAATAATCTAACTTCTAGTAAGCTTTTTTAAACAGTGTCTGCTTTACAATAAATTTGAACTTTTTTTTCCGGTAGATTTATTATATCATCAGGAATTTTGTTGTAGTAGCGCACACGGAGCCCCACGAATGAAGACTTAACCTTACCTAGTATACAGCGAGGAAGAACTAAATTATTCTTATTTCCTGTTTATTACGGCCTATTGTGTCTATTACGGCCATGAATATCAGAATATTTAATAAAGTCATGGATATTTTTCCTAACATACATAATATTTGCAAAAATATATTGACATGGCACCGTCAAAATCTGTACCATCTTGAATATTTTTTTAAGATGATTTAAATATTTTTTTAAGAGAGTCCGTACAGCGAAGTTGATAAATTGCTCTAACAGCTCTTCTCTGCAAAATGAAGATGGATTCAATATCAGCCGCTCGGCCCCATAGCAGGATACCATAAGACATAATGCTATGAAAGTAGCTAAAATAAACTTATCTGGCTGTTGTTTCGTTAGTTAACTGTTGAATCTTTCTAAATGCATATGCAGCCGAGCTAAGCCTCCCTGACAGAGAAGATATATGGGGACGCCATTGGAGTTTTGCATCATCATTACGTCATCATCAGACGTTATCGTCAACACCATTAGTTTTATCAAAAAACTTTAAAAAGGGAAGAGGTGTTTTGGATGTTCATGGGCAGCATGAAAAAAAAAGAAAAAGTACCACCTGCCAACTTTTTACATAAAAAAGTGTGTGTAGTTAATTACGCAATTAAAAGCTATACTCCTTTAGGGTAACTAAAGAAAAATAACTAATAGTGCTAATACTCCTAGTTTGTGAAAAAAAATTGATAACATAAAATGCAATTGATAACGGTTTAATTTACTTGGAATTATAGGTAAAAAAAACTGCCCAAGTGCAAGTCGGAATCGCGCACGGTGGGTTCCGGGTCATTATCTATAAAAATAGCAAAAAAACTATGCCTATTGTATGGGTGCTCCACTTGAATATTTTTTTATTCTGTTTTTTAGTTTTTGTTGTTATAGCGACAACAACAAATACATTATCTGTGAAAATTTTGATTGTAGCTATCACGGTTCATGAGATACAGCCTGGTGACAGACGGACAGACAGATAGACATTGGTGCAGTCTTAACCATAGAGTCGTGTTTTACTCTATGGGTACGGAACTCTAGAAAGAGCAGTGCCTGGGCTCTCGCTTTAAATTCTATTCACGCGAACAACCCGACTTTGATCCCCGGTGCCGGTAACAATGAATTTTAAGTGCTGAATCACGAGCTCAGCGGTGAAGGAATAGTGTACTATTACATAATACTGTACGGAGGAGGCCTTTGCTCAGCAGTGTTACAATTTTAGGCTGTTACTTCACTTTTTTACTTCATAGTTAAATGTCAACAAGTTGTTCTTGTTCGCGATGGTGACACCATCAAGTTGGTGACACTTTTAGGTGTCGCGCATCGTAAAATTTCACTCTCATCATTTATCCCAAACGCGTCAAAAGAATTATAGCCTCAAACAAGTCAATTATTTTGATTAACGAAAAACAAAACAGAGTTCAAATATCTCACTCTGTATTCATTTTATAATGGATTTGCAGGAGTTACCTAAGTATCTCCGGAGTGCAAAATCCAATACCAATAGAATTAATATATGGAATTATTATTTAATATCGAACCAAATGGAAAACACCAGCTTTCTAATAAAAAAGGAACATCGAATTAGGTTCACTCAATCGAAAGTCAGGTAACAAAAATCAAGTAATACAGTCGAAATGACAACCTCCGTTTTTGATGTCGGTTGAAGACTCACCATGGGCGCAACGTATGCGCGCAGGGACGGCGTTCTGGGTTAGTAAGGTCGATTGGCGTCCTTCGGTCTCTTCAGCTGGACCTTTAGCCGCTTCATGCCGATCTGGAATCCGTTCATCGCCTGGATGGCGGCCTGCGCGGATGCCGGGTTATCGAACGACACGAATCCTGCGAATAAGTCCTTTCAATATATTACCTGCATCTCTTTTTTAAATGCAAACCTTAAAAAAAGCTATGTCAATTAGCAGCAATCCTGAGTTTCAGCACTGACTAGTATCGTTCAGTCTTTAAAAGAAATATTGGCGATAAAGTTAAACATTGATCTATTTATCTTATGACGCAAATCCTTATTAATTCCACCTCCATTAATAATGTTGTATGAAACATTTTTTACACTAGTTTTTTTGTTCTGTTCTGAAATTTATGTAGATAGTACATTCACATTTTAATTCTTCGAAGAATTTTATCAGTAAATTAGTCAGTAAATTTGAATATTTTATCAGTAATCCACTTCGATATAGGATGTAGAGTAAGTAAAGTAAAACTCTCATGGTCTTAAGGAATGAATTCAAAATAGGTATTGATTAATTGTTATAAGTAACAATTTTAAAGATTTGCGTTCTGACTGTACACGCATATCTTGATTTTTATGAGTACAAAGGCCCGCTTATTGTCGATTTCATTAACCTAATATGCTTTTTATTTTCTATTTAACAAATACGAGATCAAATTTGCCATTCTAATCACCCGACAGTTTACAAAATACTTTTTTGACAACTGTCTTGAGTTTGTAACCGCAGATGAAACTTGGCAATGGAAGACAGTCACTAACCGAAACATTTGCTTTGATTGGTGGCACGATCGATGAACACCTTGCTGCTAATGACGTTCCCAAATGGTAGGAACATCTGCATGAGCTCGGCATCGCCAAACTCCTGCGGCAGGTGGTAGATGAAGAGGTTGCAGCCCTCGGGCCCCGATATGGAGCAGCCTGGAAACATAAGAAAATCTTTAAAGAACTCACAAATCTGCCTCCGTTCTCAAGCATTGGCTGCTATATATAAAGACATTAATAACAACAACTCTAATCTACGATTACTGAACATCAATACATCGATGGCGACACGCACAATCCCAATAAAGTACAGCGACATACATTCAAAAAAAAACAATGGTCACAATGAAATTGCTACAGACGTGGCGACTTGCAGCAACGTTGCACCTGTTGATCCGTCTTCTCCTTACGATCGAGACAATGAAAACTCTGTTAAGACTGGACAAAATATTAGTAGACGTTTGACTAACAAAGCTTGTGCAGTCGTTAGAAAATTAATAATAGCAAACAGCTATAATAAATCGTTTTGTTTTTGATACGACAGTGGGACACGACCACGACAAAAGCGTGAAAACCCAAGGCTGTGAAAACGTAGCGTGTTTAGGAATTGTATGGTTAACGATCACGAGTTAATTGCATTGAAACGAGGCTGCCTTTATTTTCATTTGTTTGAGGTGAAAATTTATCTAGTGTGAAAAGGGTATACTTAAGAAATAGGATATCTTTATGAAATAGGATCCCTAATTATTTAGGATTCTCTTCATGCTTGTTGAGGAGGTCGTTCTGGTTCCACTTGCAGTGAAGAAGGGGGGTTAGGTCCATCGCAGATCTGGACGCCTCGTTCCGTTCCTCGTTCAGGCCTCCACTTACCTTCACGCTGCGCTGGGGCTATGGCGGACACCGGTGGCGGAATGGGCTGCGGAAACTGCCCATAAACCGCTGGGTAAGCTGTCAAACATCAATTCGCACATTTCACAATCAACACCTATTATTTTGCGTGTACGCGTACATGCATCAAATGTATAATAATGACACATATTATAAAGCTATATATACTCTAGTTATTCGAATATATGGTGATTGGCTGGACCTACATTAGTATTACATATTTTACTACTAGATTTGTGTAGAGTGAGTTTTGGAATTTTGTTAAATACCAATGGTATAAATAATGAAATCAAAAGGTATGTATGTTCTAGATATTTATTTTCCTTACACTAATAATTTTCGCGTCTTAGTAAAAACCTTCAGAGCCAATTTTGAACAGATTGATTGGTGATTGTCAGTGTTGGTGGTAAGAAATGTTCATAAATATATGTGAAGCATAAATATATCCAAATACTACACGCTGTTTATATATAACACATGTTTAATATTAACAAATAAAAACGAACATACAACTACTAGAAATGAACGCACATCCATCCGTGGCGTGCTGCTTGGGCAAATAGCGTTATACTCTCGCATACCTTAACACTGAACAATTTACAATATAGAACATTTATTAACATTACAAACATGACCGATCTAGCCAAGCGAATATATCAAACATTCACGGGATCATTTCCAACAAAGTTTGTAGTGATATTACGCATCTAGAATAGAACATGAATGTCAAACAGAAGATCGATCAATGTTCAAACAACGTTTAAAAGCTCATATTAACTACTGTAGAGACCATACCAAAATAAAAATGGAAATTATGTCACCTTTTTGTCACTTCTAAAAAGTTATCTTCTTAACTACTTTCTTAATTGGAAAAATAAATAAATAATACATAAATATGAAATCAGATTGGTTGTAGATTATAATATAGACCAAATTCCAAAGTGGAAAATGTATTTGGAATAGTCTCTATTTATGATTATCATATTGAATTATTGGGAAATCATTCCAAATATATGAAATTTGAGCAGTGCAAACAAAAATCTTTTATTTCAATTGTGAAAGATAGTAGAAGTATAAATCTATAAAGTTTGTACCGCGAAAATAAAACAAAATCCAGAAGTAATTTAACGATTTCATGATTGACACTTTTCCGTTATATAAACATAATTATGTATAAGGGCAATAATTTTTTCGATTTGAAATCTAAGAAAATGAAGAGAAAATAATCAGAATAGAAATTAAAAAAAAATTCTATTCATTCATTGACAAAATGTCAATTTTGATCAGCCATTGTGTGTATATTGACATCGGAATAATATGTAGGTAAGTACTTTAATTTTCCAGATGTCAAATTATGGTTCTCCTTTGTTTGCAAGTACTACAATGTTAAAAATTCGTTAATAATTACCGAATTTGCTTCTTTTGTTCGATTGCATCTAGTAAAAAGATATTTCATACTTTTGAAAATAAGACGGAATTTCGTTTTCCTTGGAGGCTACTATGCGTTTTGTAGGTACGTGGTCATTTTTATACCGTTACGTGCTTTGAGTGTCTTTTACTCTTAGCTTATAAGTTCAGAGAGTCTGTTGGGAAGAAAGCGTACGTCAGATCGAATGCAAATTAGTCTCATGATTTTTACGAAAATACTACAGAAGTAGATACACTGTTCTTGTTGATTTCTAATAAGTTTTAAAAATGAAGGAGAAGTGCGCCCAGAAAAAGCAAGCAAATTGGCAACCGTTACTCACCGACTCCGGGAAATGGTTGCATCCCGGAGAAAGCAGCGTGCTGCAGGGCGGCTGCCTCCCCGTTTGGCAGACCTTGGGCCGTCACTGGAACTGCTGGAAGAAATGTCGAAAACATTAAACATGCGAAACTCTATTACAATGCTAGTCCTGTAGAAATGTCGTTATTAAATAAGTACAATTATCAATAGTGATAGCTACCTATTACCTCCGTGGCGCAGTTGCCAAGGCTACGGCATCGGGGGTTCGATTCCGATTTGATAATTGTTTGTGACCCAAAGATTGTTTCGGATCTAGCTACTTACAACGCAGAGATAGTGTCCTCCTGCTCCAGACGGTATGGGTTCGATTCTTACTACTGGAAAAATATTGTGTGATGAACATAGTGTTTTTGTAGGATCTGGGTGTTTATATATGTATAATAAGTATTTATTTACAAAAGAAAAGTATGTTTAAGTATGTTTACTTGGGACTAGTGAACTTTGTGTAAAAATGTGTCCTAAAATATTCATTTATTATTTTTCTTATTTATTTAAATCTAACCATGACTTGTGCCACTTGCTGATAAGTATACTTATTTCCGGTGAATGAAATGTGTAGACACTTTCAATCTAACCACGTGGTGTGCCACTTGCTAATAAATATACTTACGTCCAGTGAATGACTGCGGGAGACCGTTGGTGTAGACAGCGTCCTGCGGGGGCGGCTGACCGTTGGTCTGGGCCGCCATGTTGAATCCGGGCATGGTGGGCGACGGCAGCGATGGTAGCGCGCCGTTGAGAGGCTGACCACCAGTGCCTATCGCCAGACCAGAGAAGTTCTCTGGTGTGGAACGCATGTGTCAGTAAACCAATCTACGGTCTCGCCCTATTACTTTTTTTAGACTATTTCTCTGGTGTGGAACGCATGTGTCAGTAAACCAATCTACGGTTTCGCCCTATTACTTTGAAAGAACCTTAATGAGCGGAAAGCTTTTCGCCGCTGCGGGAATTGAGCCCACGTCTTCCGGTTTCCCGCCCACTTAATCACTAAGGTAAACGGCTGATTGCAACACCGACGACAATGTCAATGTATTTTATCTTTTTTATGTGAGCAAATGGCAAGCAAGCTGGTGGTTCACCTGATGTTAAGTCATAACCACCACCGGTTGACATTTGCAACACCCGTAGGGTTGCAGAGGCGTTGCCTGCCACCTTTTAATAAAGTGGGCCCCGGTTTTTTCGCGTTTTAAGCAACGTTTCGTACTTTTTTTGTACAAATTTTAATGTTTCATCTGAAGTGCAAAAATTGAATTTAAAAAAAAAAACTTCTACTGTAATATTATCGAAGGAGTCTACAGCGTCAACGTTCTCACAGCAACTGTCTGTACTGACTTTTTTATTGAGCGACCAAAATTTGAATTGGAGGAATACATATGCCTTTAACGTATTATTTATCAGACATTTAGATGTCCTCGTTTCTATAACACATATTAGATTACCTTGGAGGATGCGGCAAATATGCGATTAAATGTTAATTCATTAAAACTTTCAGATGAAAAGCGAGCATCCAGTTTTTATTGTTGCTCATGTTTGTATTTAATACATGACAAACAAAAGTTTATTATTCCTAGTAGTTAATAGCCAAATGCAAAGCGCTAGAGGTTTTTTTGTCAATATCACAGCGCTCACAACATCTGAAACAGTAAAGAGAAAGACGCAGCTCACATGGAGCCTCAGCTAGATGCAGCTACAGCTTATGTTTTACCAAGCAGGTTTTTTTTTACATTTTCTGATTTCATTACATTTCTAGAAATTTAAATTATTTTTAGTGCTAATCTTTGCACTTAAGATTTCACTTTACATTAAAACATGTAGAAAGTTGTATGCTGGAAAGGATATAACAATGGATGCGCTAAGCATTGCTTCAAATGCTAAAAGAAAATGATGTAGATAAAAGACGTTAAGATTTTCGTCGGTGTGGCAATCAGCCGTTTAGCTTAGTGGCTAGAGCGTCAGGCCGCGAATGCCGAAGATGTGGGTTCGATTCGCACAGCGGCGACAATCTTTTCGAACTTTTTCTACAAGTTTTAATGTTCATTACATTTCATTTGATTGATAATTGTGTGGTCACGTTTATCACATTGACTAGAAAAAACGATTATATTATGAAATGAATTCATTGCTTCGTAGACGTCAAAGCAACACAAATCTATCTAATTAGATAAAGGACTTTTAAAGTGAAAAGTTTTCAAACGTGATTAAGTTAAGCAGTTAAAACAAAGTACGAAACGAAGTTTGTTAATAAACACGAACTGTTTTAAAATATCCCGCGTCCTAACCTTAATTTAATCTAGAGTATTAAAATTGCTTTGTTTTAAATACGATGGAAATTTAATTATGAAGTGGATATGAAAATAAAAAAAAAAGGTTTGATGAAAAATTATACAAAAGTATTGTTTGTGAATCTTTCTTTAATTACTCAGGACGAGATCAAAAGGTTTAACCAACTTCCGAAAAGATGCTCTCATCCAGTCTTTCAACCTGTTCAACAAATCTTTAACGTTTTTCTTTATATTTACCAGACCCTTTTTCATAAAGCCGTTTGAATTACTATTCTCGCACACTGCCTTACTGTTAACGGATTTTTATCTCTTTTATAGAATTACTCCTTTCTTATAATGAATTTCCTATTGCTTAGTATTAGACGAGAAATGACATATAAGATAAAGTATTTCATCATTTGAAACGTACGTTGTTCCAGATGATGATCGGATAGTTTATTGCGGATATATGTTATTGAATAAAATAAAGCATAAACAAAATATTTATCCATGTTTAAAGAGATTCGCTGTTTATCGCATGGGCAGGTCCGGGAGAGAACCACGACTTCACTGAAGACCGTCGTGAAGTGGAAGAGTTCTACTTCTGCGTTTCATCGGGTGAGTAAGGTAGCCGGGCCCACTTTATTGAAAAATGTCTATCGGTGACGATAACCGTCACCCACTTAACATCAGAAAGTAAATAATCATATAAAATATCCTAAGAAGGCCATACGCTGTCGCGGGACTTTATTTAAAATTGTTTTAAAAGAACCACTCAGCCTTACATTATTTTCTTGCAACTTAGAGTTGATGCGTGCTTTACACCTGGCTGACATTATTAATAATATACTAGCGACTAATCCCTTTACCCAGTTGAAAATCAGCTTATATAGTCGTCCCTTCAAACATTACCTTTTAGTGTATGATATAGAAAGCCGTGATAGGTCAGTGTCCGGGCGCTCGCTTGTTCTTAATTTTAAGCGCTGAATTATCACGTTCTTGGCGGTGATATCGTAAGGACCTGTATATATTCGAAGTAATAACAAAAAAATATATTTCCAAGATATATGGAGTCCACAGATCCGCATCGGGGTCGCGTGGTGGACTATGCCCATATACACAGACAATACCTATTGTACAGAAGTGGCCTTTCTCCAGCAGTGGGTCATATATGTATAAGCTGTTACTTAACTTTTACTTTTATGTGATATAATATTTCGATTGTGAAGTGCCCTTTATTTTATTTAGAGTAGAATAAATCGAATGTACTGAGGGTGATATTTAAATGGTCACCGTGTTGCGGGTTTGATCCCCGAATGCTCTTTGCTCTAGGTAGCTTTGTGTACGTGATTTCTGAACAGTTAGTTCAGAATAGATAGTTTCTGAACTACGGAATATTCGTTCGACTGGCGCTGGATCATAGGGAAGATTGAGTAAAAAGAGCTTTGAATAAGTCGCGTGGAGTACATACCCGAAGCAGGCGGTACCACGGAGTTCGCCATTCCGTTGAGGGCGTGGGACGCGAGGGCCGTCATGGGGCTGATGTAGCCCTGGGCGGTCGCGGCCACCATCAGTGCGGCCTGCTGCTGAGGGATTTCGAACTTTTCTCAACGTCAGACATCTGTTCGGCGATGTGGTGACCCTACGAGGTCCTCGGTTCGATCCAGCGGCTGCCAATGGCTGCCGGTCTCTGTTCCCCAGTTTTGGATGCAGCTATGTGCAGGTCAGTCTATGCTTACAGACGCGGTTGTATAATATATTCTGCTTTCTATTGTTTGAAATTTTTATAGTGTTTTGCATTGGTACTCAGCATTTGTCATAAAAAGTTCAAATTTACTTTATTTTCCTTTTAAATCGGATATCGAAGAGGAAATTTTTTAGATGTAAATTAAGTTAGCAATGTGATATATTGATAATACGTAGGCAGGATGATAAGTAACTAGCCATTGCTATTTAAAAAGTTAAAATTAAAAAAATATATGTGTCATTTTTAAATTCGTATCTCTGGCCACCTGTGTTCTAAATTTGAATTAGGGCGTGAAAATTTTATTGTTTTTTTGTCATTTGAAAATATATTTCGTCAACTATTTTCAAAATGGATAAAATTGAACAGAGAGCGGTGATAAAGTTTCTTCATATGAAGGGGATGAAGGGCGAAAGATATCTATGACGAGTTAAAGAATGTTTTGGGTGAATGTGCTCTTTCTTATGCCACAGTAAAAAACTGGGTGGCTGAGTTTAAACGCGGTCGTACATGTGTCCAAGATGAAGCCCGCCCCGGACGTCCAAAAAGCGTTACGACTCCGGAAATGGTCGTGAAAGTACATGATATGGTTTTAGCAGATCGACGATTGAAGTTATCTGAAATAGCTGACACTACAGGTATCTCAAAAGAACGGGTACATCATATCCTAAGTGAGGAATTAAATATGAAAAAGTTATCGGCCCGTTGGGTGCCGCGATTGCTTACGCACGATCAAAAAAGGATTCGGGTGCAAAACTCAAAAGAATGTCTGGACCGTTTTCAGAGTAATAAGGCCGATTTTTTACGTCGATTTGTAACAACAGATGAAACATGGGTTCATCATTACACGCCAGAATCAAAAATTCAATCAAAACAGTGGACTCAATCGGGATGCCCGGCTCCGAAAAAAGCCATGGCTGTAAAGTCGGCTGGAAAAGTGATGGCTTCCGTCTTTTGGGATGCAGATGGGATTTTGATGATAGATTACCTTGCTAAACGTCAAACAATTAATGGTGAATACTACGCTAATCTTCTTGATAAGCTTCATCAATGTACTCAGCAAAAACGACCAGGTTTGGTGAAAAAAAAATCATCTTCCACCAAGACAACTCTAGGGTTCACACATGTGTTAAAGCTATGGCAAAAATCAACGAATTGAAGTATGATTTGCTGCCTCACCCACCTTATTCGCCTGATCTAGCGTCATCAGACTTCCACTTATTCCCTAAGCTCAAAACTTTTTTGGGCGGACAGAAATGTGCCACAAATGATGAAGCCATAGCCGCCGTAGAGGAGTATTTTGCAGGACTCGAAAGAAATCATTTTCTGGAAGGCATTACTGCTTTAGAACGAAAATGGAATAAGTATGTAGCGGTTCACGTAGAGTATGTCGAAAAATAAAATTAATTTTATCACGGAAAGTTAAGTGTTTTCTTATTAGGCTAGTTACTTATCCTCGTAGTATAGTTACAAAACATTTTCGGACGCGTTGTTTTAATTATAATAATATTAAAATTAATACACCTATGAAATAATTAGGAACAGAAAATTACTATATCAGATGAATTCTTTGCTTTGCAAGGCATGAGTATATATTATTATCACAATCAACCTTTATCCAGTCTCCTGAAATGAGAATTGATACGCTTATTAAGAAAAATAAATAAACAGATAAAGTGCCAAACACTATTATCTTCCATGTACGAAGAAAAAATTGCAAATTTCACTCAGGTTGTTTCATTCCCATCATTTGGCAGCAGCCAGAGTGTTTTTGGTCTCTATTAACTACGTATAGTAACTATATTATATAATATATAGTGTTCAGTGTAGTATTTCTCACGTATTAATTCTAGGAGAATGATGATCAATTTATGTACTGTTTTTCACAAAAATCTAATTTACTCTACTTTCTGATCTATTTTGTCTGGACAATGAAACATTTTCTGGTGTTTTAACTAGTACCATTGTATTCTATTTTAATTGATACTTATATTTAGGAAAATTTAAAATAGAATATTGTGCAGGAATACCAAAGGGGATTGCTTCCCTCTAACATACTTGCTCAGTGATGACTTGCGCGTAGGCGCCGTAGGCACCAAATTGGTTGAAGACGAACGGATTGAGGATACTCATGTTGCCAGCCATCTGCTGCATCCGTCTGAGTTGTCGCTCTTTCTCGGTGTCCGCGAATTTCACCACCAGGCTCGAGGAAGCTCCCTGCAACAAAAAAAGAATCGATGAAGCCAAATTGCTTTGAACTTTATTAGACTAGCGTAGAGTCCAATTTGAATTTGGAGCCAGTAGAATAGTTCTGACAAAAGAGTTAAGTACATATGTTATGTTTATTCGACTAGAGATTGTATTTATTACGAAAAGACTGTGCTTACATATCGTGTTAGTTTTACTTTTATATAATTGAAATGCCTCGCATGAAACTCGTTTTGCACAGTTTATGTATTAACCACGATATTTGCTCATTATGCCTGTAATTGAATTCGGTACTATTTAACTAGTTACCATTATTTTTATAATCGACATTATAGAAGGAAGTTTTAACGAGCGCCACCAAACACCAACACCGAACTGCCTGAATGGCCGCAAAGTTTGCCCATTTAGTAATTACGCGGAAAACGTTCTGATTATCAAAGAGGTCCGTAACGCGGCTGGGAGTGGCTATTTTAAAAAGGGGTCCCACTAGGCCCACAAAGGCCTTCGCGAGCTACTAGCACAATGCGGGCACTGAAAGCGGGCGCATTCATTATGTATCTGCCAGGGCAAAAATACGCCAGCGGGGCGGCCTACGCCGGCGAGGCAGCCTACGCCGTAGGCCCGCTACGGCGCAACAGGTTGCCGCCCGCACGGTGCAACAAGTATTGGGCGGACATCCAAAAATGCATCGCGTCGGCCCGCCAACTTCGCCCGCCGGAAGCCGGCTTCCTGAACCGCTGCACTCCTCCGAATTTAAACAGGGGGTAATTGAACCGCGCAGATGTTGGACGCCCGTTTATTGCACACAGTCGTTGGGACTTTGTCCCGGCGTATTGCCCGTGACGACACCCGCTTCGCGAATCGCACGATCATGGTTTCCGGCTAGAGTTTGAGTTTGGGTATCGTAAACGCCGAGCTGACATTGACGCTGAGAATGACGTGGATATTAAACTGATGAATGGAGACTGTTTCATATCGAATTATTCTTAAGTATGTTCTGAGTTTTGAAACCATTGTTATGAGTATAATTGCTACAAAAATAAGACAAACGACAGAAAGACTTAGGTACTGATCAATCTAAAAATAAATTATAAACAGCACAGTAAAAAAACATATATATGATACAAAAAGCACATGCTTTAAATTGTATGTGTCAATATTGGTAAAATTTTATTATTGTACACAATGTATACATATATACAAGAATAATTTAATAAAAAGTTATTCTTTACGGCCGGTTAGCTATCAATAAGCTACCATAAAAAGGTAAAACTCTTTATAGCTATGGTGATTATCATCATTTTATCAAGAAGGCGACATGTAAATTGCCTCAAATATGTATTCCTCACCTCTTCAGAATCATCACTCCAAACTATAAGTATACTTGCAATTTTTTTGTCGATCATTACTGAAAAACTTCTATCTGATTCTTAAAAAAGTATTTTATTCGTAAAACCATGACATTGTTTGGTTATATGAATGCACCATCGGATCTTTTCGTTAATGTGTCGAGGATACGCTATAGTTTTGTTAATAATTTTGTTTGCTGTATTATGTTTTTGTTTTGATCGTATTTAAGTGTGTGTATTTTTATTATGTTTTGTTTTTATTTTATTTTTGTTGGCTCTGTGCATGGAGCTGAAGTGGAGACCTTTTTTTTTGGCGCATACAAATGTGGTAGGGCCACGCAGCAGCCACGGCTGTTGCACAAATGGTCAAGCTCGTCCGGGTAAGTACCGCGACCTCACAGAAGACCGGCGTAAAGTGGAAGTATAACAAATACTTTCGCGTTTCGTCTGGTAGTGAGGTACCGGAGCCCAATCTTCAAAAGGTTGTCAACGCATATGTAACCCTCGGGTGTTGTAGATGTGGTGAACCATTTGCTCGCTTGGCAACTTTTCACATAAAAAAAACAATTTCACGTTTTTGATGTTATTCTTGTTCCTTTTTGTTTTTTTCTGTAATGTTATGCGCCACAAAAACATTTATTTCTTCTTCTTCCTTAAGGAAAGAGGCCGTTACCGTTTAACAATAGTTTAGGAAAACTATTGCCTTATATAGCTTAATTATATCTGTTCATCCTTCGGTGAATCTCCAAAAAACATATTTTATAACACTTAGAATATCTTTGGATATTATACTATCCTAGCATAATATTTGTATTGTAGATGTAGCTCTACATTGAACAGTATTATTCGTAATTGTAATTGTAAATATAGTATTTTCTTTCCAGATGTTATTTTGTTCAACCGTTAGTATTTAGTACAAGGTGTATTATAAAGATGTATCATCGGATATAACTACAGATATCTTGAACTTATAAAGTTACTATCGTGAAGTGCTACATGCTACTAGGATTCCTAACCACAGGCCTGTAGTCCGGGGCACATAGAATAGGGCTAAGGTATCCCCTGCCTGTCGTAAAAGGCGACTAAAAGGGGACACGGGTTGGCAGCAGCTCGAAGTGGTCTCGAGCTGCTGCAAGATGGCGAGGGAATTGGGAAAGGTTAATCCTTCCCCGAGGCGTGCTCACGCGCAGTACGAGGGACACCGGACATAGGAGATCCCGGAGTCCCTTCAAACGTATAGAAGGTGGCCACCGAGGGGGTTTTAGTGGGTAAGAACCCCACATAACCCTGTCTTGTAAGGTGACAGGGTATATTACGAAGCCCCCCCCCCCTATGTAAAAAAAAAGGATTCCTAACCAAGACTTTCAGGAGCGACTGAACTATTAAAACGAGAATAAATTGTTTGCACGTACCCTACGTAAACAGTGAACAATCCATTTACCTCGGAGCGGGTTCGTTAAGTAGACTTAAAAGATATTTATACATAGAACTCCGCGAGGGAGAAGCGGCAATAAAGATAGTTTCGCGAGTCGTTTAAACGTTATCACGGCTTTGTTTCATAAGGTTCGCTCCGCTTAAATCCGGCCGATACCTCCCGCGGGGACGAGTTAAAGCCTACGACCTAGTTTTAGAGTATTGTTTCACAAGCTCCTTTAAAAACCTTTGGATTGCTTACCTTAGATTGTTGGAAAAAGAAATTAGCTGCAGCTCTCATGAATTTTCTCCATTTTGACGTTTGATGAATAACTAAACGATATCTTTTGATTTTCCAATAGACAATCGGTTACAAACCAATTCCCAAGTATATGGATCGTGTCAAATTTTCAAATAGCATTTGAAAATTTGACACGGTGTTTTTTTTTTAACGGTGGTAGGGCCACGCAGCAGCCTCGGCTGTTGCACGACTGGGCAGGCTCGTCCGGGTAAGTACCACGATCTCACAGAAGACTGGCGTTAAGTGGAAGTATAATACTTTCGCGTTTCGTCTAGTGTGTGAGGTGGCCGGAGCCCAATTTTCAAAAAATTGTCAACGCATCTGCAATCGTCGGGCTTAGCAGATGACTATGGGCGGCGGTATTCACTTAACACCAGGTGAACCGTCTGCTCGCTTGGCAACGTTTCACATATAAAAAAAAATTCAACACTTCTTTCTTTGCAATAGGACCGATTAAGCTTAATGTGGCGTGCATTCTAGGCTGTGATAACGTGATGTGTACGAAACGCTCGTGGGTGCCTGTAACTGGGCTACTAGGCTACTGGGTTGGATACCCGCCTTGCCCTAAGTGGCAATGATAATAACGATAGTGTGGATTTTATTACGCAGTTGGTCCCCCGTAGCGGCGCCGTAACGGGGTTCACGGGGCCCATACGTTACAATGTTAGGTCCAATTAAAGGAGTATTGCTACTCTCTTAATTGTTGTTGCATAACTCTATCCTCTCACTACCGACTCTCAACGAATTCGCATTATTCATGGATATGGTTCTATGATTTACACACCTTATTTAGTTCGGGGCCGCTGTCGTACCAAAGGCTAAATTAATGGCACTAGAGAGTAAACTTATGTTTCAAGCTATGCACTTTCGACTTAATACAAGTTAATCCTAGATCCATGTTAAGATCGCCTTATTGAAGGACTGCGCAAGTCGGACTTAGAGAATAACAATATATCAAAATTTGAAGCCACTTCAAAATCTGAAACAACTTTCAAAGAACTTATACTTCTAGCCTACATAAATAAGTCCAATAAATTATAAAGAAGATATAAAAACTTGTTTAAAGTAAAGTATATAAATGTCCCACAGCTGTGCAAAGGCCTCCTACGTACAGGGAGTACCAGGGTACATTCCACCACGCGGACCCACTGCGGATCCGTGGACATTTTTTTCTATTTCAAAAATATGCAGGTTTCCTCACAATGTGCCCATTCGCTGCTGAGTCCGTGATATGTCAGCACTTCAAATTAACAATTTTATTGATGTCTGCTCCGGGGATCGAACTAGGGCTGCACGAATGTTATATTGAATTAGAGGCGAGCGCCCGGACACTGAGCTTTCACGACACGAGTAAGCTTATTTAAGCACTTATTTAAGAAAAAGCACTTAAGTTATTGTGTTTTTTTGTAAGAAATAGGAACTGATTATTTTTGATTTTTTTATTCTTAACTCTCACCAATAAATCACTAGTTTTAAACACAATATTGAAAGTGCAAAAGGAAAGCTAAAAAAGAACTCCAAAGTGTATTACGTTCCGGAATAGGCAAAAGAAAAATGTAACCCGTCCACACAGGTTGAAATACGTTAAATATAGTCCAAGAGGGTTGTTGATGTAACATAGAAACGACTCGTGGAAAGTAAAGATCGATCTATTGCTTGATGGAATTGCTGGTGTTAGCTTGTAAATATATATACGTTATAAACGCATTTCTATAAACTACCAAATATCGCATGCTAACATTATTAAGTAAAGCACCCAGTAATAACACGTAAAATGTGCTGATTTTGTATTCGATAATGCCGAAAAACGTTGAAGGAACAAACGTACCGTGAAATTTGTGAAAGTCGTAATAAAACATGCGCTCCTAATATAATTTAACATTTAATGTTTGCACGCAAGGCTAACTAATGTGCTAGCTGCCTGATACAGTTTTGTTTTTCAAAGTCCTACCCAGATATGTAATTTATTCTCAGCTTTCTTCACATCCGCGTTCATTTGATCCTATGAACTGGCAACCTCCTTCTAACTTTGCTAACAATGCTTCTTGCTTAAGCCAGATACAGCCCTTAATCCTATAAACTGGCAACCTCCTTATAACTTTGCTAACAATGCTTCTTGCTTAAGCCAGATGATGTACTACGTGCTTTGCAAAATTTGGATTTGAACAAGGGTCCTGGACCTGATGGTATACCTCCTATCTTTTTTAAATCTACTGCAGATCATATTGTTTTCCCAATACAAATTTTATTTAATAAGTGTCTTATGGAAGGCAACTTTCCAAACATTTGGAAGCGCGCTTACATTACTCCAATTTATAAGAGTGGCGATAAAAGTAATATAGAAAATTATAGACCAATTTCTAAACTAAGAACCTTGGCCAAGCTTTTCGAAAGACTAATTCACAACACCTTGTACCCTTATATTCATAATCTTATCATACCTGAACAACACGGCTTTATAAAACGTCGATCCACAACTACCAATCTTATGGTATTTACAAATCACTTATTTGAAAACATGGATTTGCAACAGCAAACTGATACAGTGTACACTGACTTTCAAAAAGCCTTCGACAAGGTGGATCATAAATTACTTCTGGACAAGATAGCATATAATGGCATTCGTGGAAATTTACTGCGGTGGTTTTCGTCATACATATTTCGAAGGTCGCAGAAAATCGTTATTAATGGCTTTGAATCAG